AGGTGTCACAGCTAAACAAGAATAGACTAGATAATGCTACTATGATGAGAAAAAGCAGAGAGAGCAAAATGTTAGAAACTGAACAAGCAAATACTGCAGAATGGGAGAATGGGGATAGAATGATGAAAAGTGGTCACTATGTCCTCCAGCAGTCTAAGCCTATGGCAGCATAACTATAGAGATAGCCCAAGATAACCTGAGCCGCTTTAACTATAAGCTTTATCAAAAAGGAAAGCCTACCCTTAAAAGTAGACAGAACTGGTATTTGGGTACTCAGGAGAAGAGTCTGATAACTAAAAGATCTGCTTCCCATTCTACTTTAAGAAATTCTAGGAACCCCTAGTAAACCTGCAGATTGAGAGTGCTCTGTTAGCGATATACATAAGGAATCATATTTCATCAGTTGATGATGTTTGAAATTTCCAAAAAAAACAAGTATAAGTTCTCTTTATTTTTGTTACTCTGTTTCTTTTTTTCCATGAGGAATGGACAAATGCTGCTACTGGTGGAACTTTAGTGATAAAAATCACATTTGTTTATTTTTTAACACCAGTGTTAGTGATTGCAGGGCTATAATTGCTACAGTTACCTAAGAAAAACCTTTAAAAAAAAGTCATTAAGATTTTATGTCCATATCCCACAACCCTACAAATGATACAATTAAGAGCTTCTATAGTTTATATGTTCAGATGTTTATGAACTCATAAATGACTAAAACCACTCCTGGTATGACTCAACACTGTTTCTGGTTTTGTCCTTTTGTAGATGAAGGACTTAACCGAGGTGCCAATATTCTTTCCTTCATTAAAAGTCATGTATTGTTATTTCTCAGCTGGTTTATTTTTTTCTTAAATTGTTTTTTGTGGTTTTTAAGAGGCTTTAGCCTATTTCATGCTATCAGGCAGGTCATATTTAGTTGCTGTTGCTGTTCTTTTGTTTGTTTTACAGGTCTAAGTGTAATCATTAGCAATGTCCTGATCTGATATTAAAATCGGAAATTGGTTTGATATCAAACAAAAAAATTAGTTTGAATATATTAGTCCAATACATGTCTTGGACACATTGGCGAAGAGAGGGGTGGAGCTTTCCACCGACCGCTACCTGGTGGTGAGCTGGATGTGCTGGAAGAGGAGAAAGCTGGACAGACATGGCAGGCCCAAGCGAGTAGTGGGGGTCTACTGGAAACGTCTGTTGGAGCCCTCTGTCAGGAATGTGTTCAACTCCCACCTCTGGAGGAGCTTCTCCCAGAGTCTGGAGACATGGAGTCAGAGTGGCCCATGTTTTCTACCTCTGTTGTTTATGCGGCCACCTGTAACTTTGGCCATAAGGCCTGCTATACCAGTCATGCCAGCGTTGCTGAACTTGGTGGTGGACACCAGCACCGAGAGACATATGAATACATGAAGGGGTGTTTAAGGGGTGCTGTCAAGATGAATAATTAGTCCTGTTGAACCTGGTTGACTTGTTGGACTTCAGAGGAATAAAACAGGTGTCTGTTTATATATATAATTTATATATAATTTATATATAATTTTTTTTTTATGTGAATCCTACAGTTTAATGCAAAGACGGCCTTTTGAGTTGTAGATGTTTTCTAATCCAACACCTGATCCAGTTCCTCTAAATGGATGTCTCAGCTTGTCATGTAGGTCTCTGGGTCACAAAACAATCATTAACAAATGCAGAGTGGAAAGTTACATATATGCCTGTATGAAAAATATAATTTTGTACTATGATAAAATCAGGCTTTATATTTACTAATTGAGAAAACAATATATTTAAATGACTAAACTAAATACTTTGCCAGCAGTACACCATCATTTTTCATCAAAATCTTTTATGCAAGTACAGTGAGGTACTGTTGTTTTAATTAAAAAAAAGGCAAATAAAGCAACTATGTACCTTTAAGAATTCCTTGTGAAGGATGTACAAGCAGATACCAGATTTTCCTACAGTAAATCAAAAAAAATTTGTGAAAGTCTCAGGACACAAAGTATGCCTCATAAATACACAACCACAGATCTCCAACTGTTCATGTGAATGAATAAACTAAAGCTGAGGTAAATGTACCATTGCATTCCAGCTGCCATTTAGATTATGCTTTTCCTGTAGCCTTTCCTGCCTTTGGTGGAGCATTGTTTCCTTCTTTTCCTGTTTTCATTGAGCTTGACTAACGTATAGAAAGAGCTGGGTGTCTGGGAATGCAGTGTTTGACATAATCTAAAGCTATTGTGCTCAAAGGTAGTTTTATTCTTTTATATGTTAAAGAGGGAGCATGGTACAAACAATCTGACTTAAATGAACTGCAGCAATATAAACTATTCTGCCTTGTGAAGCCGGATTTTGGGGATAATCAAACAATGCTCTCTTAATTCCACTCCCTCTAGAAGCCTTATTTGTCAAGGAGCAGGTTGGTGTTCAAGGTTGTTGAACTAAACTGCATCTCTGTTGCATAATCTTGTCAGATTATTACACAATTACAAAAGTGTCAGCCAATAGAATGGCCACTTTTAGCAAGTTAGCTTTGAAATTAATTGCTAAAAGCTTGTTTACATTAACAGGTCCTGCTGAAGAGTATGTGTCACTCCTGGAAGACCCTTTAACATATTCAAAGCCTTTCCTTCCTACAGACAAACCCACATTCTAAAAATACAGCCCTTAAGTAGACGGTTTAAATATATCCTTGCTATCAGCAGTCTTTTGTCGCACTGTTTTCCCATGCATTGTGAATCTGCACGTCAGCAAGTATCCCCAAAGCATTAGGATGGAGGTTATTATGCACTACATGGGATGCTTTTTGTAGACCCTTTTCTTTTCCCTATAGGTGAGTTAGGTTACTTTCAAGCTAATGGTCAAATAAAGTGGCAGGTCTTGTCTAAAACAACAGAACTGCTTCTTATGTTTAAATTAGTTGTTTTTAGTTTATTTGACCTTCTCAAAACAATTCAATGGTTGTCTTGGATTTGTCCTTAATTTAGTTTTATCCCAAAAAAGAAGCTAGTGGATAGTAAAACGGAGTGATTACGAAGACCTACATTTGTTTTTTCCTGAGACAATGGGAAAAAAACCTTTCTGACTTTGGTTACACAAAGCAAGGGTTTGAGCCTGAAATATTTTTTGGTAAGAGAAGAGTGAGAAAGTTTTCCTTTACCAATAAAATAAGATAAATGTGCTAATCATAAATCAGAGCAAAAATTTAAAGCTTTCAGTGGAAATTGCCTTTTGCTTACAATATAAAAAGCAACTAACTATAAGTAGATTCAGTGGAAACAAAATCCAAGTTGGGGCTCTACCAGTCAAAAGCTGAAGATAAAACAGCTATTTTGATTTTATGACACATGACACGACTGTACTCCCAAAATATACACAAAATGATGATTGTAAATGTCTTTTCTGTTTTCATGATGCACAGATTACGATTCCTTCACCCATGATGAAATCATGTTTGTAAAGCTTTGAACACCCAACCCTGATTTATAGGTATATGAGCATAGACAAGAACAGCAATAAAATTATTTGCTTCTGTTCTTATTTCTATACGCATTTGTCAATTATTGATGTTAGCGGTAGAAACAAAACTTAAAGGTTTAAATTATGTTAATGGAGATTACTTTTTAATCTTTCATTTGCCATTTATTTTGGGAATTAACACAATGAATAACAGCAGTCTGCGCGTATAGTAATCCTTAGAGAATGGAGAGAGGGGGCATAGTGATAAAAAAAAAAACCTTATTTTCATGTTAAAATAAAGCTATAAATACCTAGAATTCCTCCTGGTGGTGCTTACTTAGTTTCTTTTGAGCCTGAACCATATTTTTGCACTAGGCACAATCAGCAGACGTATATGTCGTACACTGTCATCATTGGCTGGTAGAACTTAGTTTAACTCCCTCTTCAATAAAGTCTCTTCCTCTTATTCTTTTTTACACGTGATCTTAGATTTTTGTTCTTTATTTTTACACCTCCGCTGAGGAAATGCAGACCTGCTACCACCTTTAAAGAGCAGGCGTTTGTTTTGCAGTGCAACAGAAATTCCCTTTGTTTTCAATTCACAAAAAAATCCCTCTCAAAATTGGTAATTTATTCAATTAGTTCTACCACGTCTACTCAGTTTTAGGAATCGCTGCCCTAACCGCTTCACGAAGTGCTCATATTTAAAGGTACATCTTTGAAACTGGGAAAGGAGAACTCAGTTTTAGAACATTCAGCCTGAAGGCAAGGGAACTTTATTTATATAGTAAAATTTACTACAAAGACAATTCAAAGTGCTTTACATAAATTAAACAATAAAATAGAAGTAAAATAAAAGCAGAATAAAAGCAAACGAAGATACAATCACGATTAACACAGGTAGTAGAACAAATAAGACAGTTGCAAAATAAGCTTGAGCTAATGATACCTCAGTTAACAGTTTAATCATCAAAGGCAGCTCTAAACGAATGGGTTTTTATTGTTAAAATAACTCAGCCTTTCAGCACATTTACAGTCTTCTAGAAGTATTCTGCAGACAAGTAGAGCATAGGAACTAAATGCTACTTCTCTATGTTTAGTTCTAGTTCTGGGTGTACAGAGTAGGCTTGAACTATTAGACCTGAGTGGTCTGGGAGGTTGATACACTGACAACGAATCTGTTATGTATTGAGATGCTGTACAGTGATTTATAGATTACAGAATGATTTAAAGTCTATTCTCTGAGCTACAGGGAGCCAGTAGAAAGACTTCAGAAGTGAGCTGGTGTGCTCTACTTTCTTAGCTCTGGTGAGAACACTGGCAGTAGCATTTTGGATCAGCAGCAGCTTTCTGATGGATATTTTAGGCAAGCCTGTGAAGAAACTGTTGTAGTGATCAATTCTATGAAAGAGGGTTTGAGTTCCTTGAGATCTGTCAAATTTAGACATGTGACGTTTACTGATCTGGTCGAGCTAGAAGATAGAGCTGTAGATAATGACACTGGACATGCTTTAGCTGACTGTAAATTCTTTTTTTTTCTCAATTCACAGAGTTGGATACACACCTGTGTCCATTTCCTGCTGTTCATGACACTTGGGGTACATTCAGCTACACTTGATGTTCAAAGAATGACCGATGACATTGACAGAGAACTCCCTGTTTTGGTAAGGTTTGAAACTCACACACGTAGCTTATTTGATTAACCAACAATTATGTTTTATAAAGAGCTAGGATGTACCATCCTGCAGTGGATTTTAATCTTAAGGAAAAGATGTAGTCATGCACACAAAATGGCAGTGTTTTACAAAAAAAATTCAAATCTGACTTTTTGGTAACAGCACACAGTGCTTCACTAAATCACAGGTAAGGTCCAGATGGCCCAAATGCTGTTTATCTTTGTTATAACGGAAGAATAAAGGCATTCAAGTTTTAATTTTAAATCATACATTTTTCATAAAAAAGAGACAAGCATTACAGGTGACATAATCAACAAACCTAATTTATATATATGAGGATGTAGAGAACATTTTGGATTTTTGAAAACTCCAAGAAATATTGTTTGTTTTATTAATAAAGATAGACTAAAAGTACTGAACAAAGTATTTCATTTATGGGCCTTTATATAAAAGTTTTATATATTCCGTTTGGAGAAAAAAAAAAAAATAACATTATGACATTAAGTAGGGGTTACTTTCAAAGATTTCATATTAATATCTAAAATATTTTGAAAGTTTCCACTATCGATTCATAGTGACGTTTTTTTTTGTTTGTTTTTTTCGGGGGGGTTTGTTTTGTATTTTCAAAGTTGGTCAGAAAATAGCTACCAAAATACCTCAACCATTTTAGTCTGGAAAGCTATGGTAGCTTGGAATAAAAAAAGACAAAATCCTACAACCACAGTTAGTCTTACTCAGCAAAGCCTTTTGGTGTTTACCTTTTTTAATCATTCAATTTGCAGTATTAAATATAAACAAAAACTGAAAATCTGAATTTCAGATGAATAAATAAGATACATCGCATTACAAGGGATATTGTATTTATGTAAAACTAGACTTAAACGTACCCTGTTTTAGGTTGGATAGATTGGCAACTTTATTTTTGTTTGTTGTTAGAATAGTCTTTGGTTTAGCAGACTAATTCTGCATTTTTGACTAAGGGGACACCTTTAAAAACAGGGTTGCATCAGGAAGGGATCTCATGTAAAATGAATCTGCCAAGTTTGTGTACAATTTTGATAAGCTGCTCAGTTTACCCATGAAGAAGAGGGTAGCCTAAAGGACCAAAATGTAGCATTAAAACGTCATTGCTTGCTTCAAATGTTATGGATATCTTTTCTTAAAATTCTCTAAAGATTTTGGGATTTTTGCCCCATTCCTACCAACATGACATGTAAAATTGAGTTAAGTCTATCAGCTGCTCTGCTGACCACTTCAAAGCACTGACTGTCCTTATACCTCCTGGTTTCTGATTTAGAACACTATGTTGTTCCTTCCCCTTTTAATAGATCTACTGATGCCCAAGTTCTGTAATCCTAACTCACCAAAAACAGGATTTGTTTAGTCTGATTTAATTCCACTTAAACAGTTATGTATAAAAACATCTGATCTACATTTTATATACTATTTTCTTAAATTTGAATAAAAAACATTTTTTCTGGTTTCTGTACTTGATAGGCTTATTTGTCTTTTTCTTTCAACAGAGACACAATATTCCGAAAGACTACAACATTTCTTTACAGTATATTCCCAAAGAAATGGTAAGTCAGCAATATTTATCCCCCCACACACACATATATAAAAAAAAAAAATAAATATATATATATATATATATATT